GCCTAACTTGCTGCTATACGCCAGTGCTCGCGTTCCATTAGATCCCACGGGCAATCACTCAGTCGACAAGCCACACCAAGCAAAACACGACGGCAACACCCACAACCAATCACTCATACAAATCGGACCACGACCCAAGTTGTAGCTTCAGAAACTGCTTAACACGCCTAACTGGAACTGAAACCAAAGAACCCGACCCCAGACTCACAGCCGGAGGAATACCAAACAAACATCACGTACACCACCAACGCCCCGAACACATCCCACACCCACTGACCAAGACCTGACTATGAGGTCGTCCCCTCAGCCTAAACACTAGGGGAAAAGGGGACACGTGAGAGAAAGCCCACCGATCCTCTGCCCCGACCACCACCACAAGGGTAGTCGGAGCGACAACCATCCCCGCAGAAACACCGAAGCCTGCTATTGCCTCAACATTAGGGAAATCGGCGACCCACCTCCTTTATACGACAACTAGAAACGACAAGATCCACCCAGGTACGGTTAACCAACTCCTTCGGCGCAAAAATACGGACACCAACTGCGAAATCCAGGGGCCGAGCTGTGCGGCCCAGAGCCGGTTGTCGTCAAGAAGGCCCGACGGCCCCGCTGTAGAAGGCACTAGTGACGTTGATTTAGGGAAGACACAGAGATAGAGGGAATTTCTTAAGGAGAGATTTTTTTTTAAATATCTATGATGTTCACTAGTAGGCTGTAAACGAGTCGCGTCGAGCTTAGGGTGCTCGTGCTCAAGCTCGGATCGTTAAATAAACGAACCTAATATCGAGCTGAGCTCGGCTCGTTAAGACATCGATTTCGAGCCTTAACGAACCGATATCGAGATTTAACGAGTCAAACTATAAAAATAAATATGAAAAACTATTTTCGAGCCGAGTTGAGTTCGACTCGTTAGCCAAACAAGTTTTAAATGAGCTCGAGCTCGGCTCGTTAAGGTCTCAAACTCGTGGCGAATTCGAGTTGAGCTCGAGCCGAACCGAGCCAGACTCTTTTAATTTAACCCCAGTATCCACAAGGCAATAAAAGTTTTTTTTTTCGAAACGATAGATTCATTAAACGAAAAACACGTAATTACAGCCGGTGGACAACCGAAATAGGAGCTGCTCATGGAGGCCAACCTAGAAGCCCCAACACACACTACATCACGAAAAGAAAAATAGAAGCTCCTTACAGAAAAATGACACTAACTCTCAGGCGAATAACACTAACTCCCCACAAGGCAATAAAAGTTGCAAAATTGAAAATAGAAAATCATTAAAATATATCCATTTCAAATATTAGGTTAGGTTTTTGGGCTCATATAAAAACGCACACATTAACCTTCACATAAACCTCATATTTTTCAAAGCGACTGCTGTGAATTGAGCAGCAGAAAGAAAAGATGGGGCACACCAACATTTGGAACGCTCACCCCAAGACCTACGGCCCTGGTTCTCGCGCTTGGTACCTCTCACTTTTTTCTCTTTTGTAATTCGACTAGATTTGAATTTATTCATGCTTTTGTTTTCGGCTCGTATGTTCCACGTTTGTTCTGTAATCGTGCTATGATGATTTGGTCTGCGAATAATTGTTCTCAGCCTGTGTTGTGGCATTTTTTTTGTGTTCCTATTGATCTAAAGGAAGACGAAAATGTTGCTGATAGGCCATATAGTTTATTGGGCGACTTGCGATAGTTTTTGCTGTAGCTTTAGATTGTTGCAATTTGAGAGTTATTGAAAAACGTCGTAAGTTCCTCAAGGGGTTCGAGTTATATGACATAATTCTGAAGCTAAAAACCCAGCTCACTCTTCTAATCAAGAGGATAATATTTGAGGGGGCAACAGTCGATTATGGCGGATTTGTCGTCTATGTATCCCTGCTGAAAAAAGGGTCGAATGAATTTACAAGATTCTTTCGAAGAAAAGTGCATTGAGGCTACCCATTAACGATGCTTACACGAACGGTATATGTAGAATAATGTTCGTTTTTTGTTACTTTTGTAGTAGTCCCTTGCATTACCTCATTGCCACTTGTATTTTTTGCTTCTTGTTAACTTTAGCTGACTACCGTAAATAAGGCGTTGGCGCATAAACTCAGTATGCTATAAACAGATCTAAAATTGCATTCTTCATATGGATTGAGATTTTCTACTGGATTATTGAACTTTTTTGTCATTTTTTCTTTTGGTAAGCCGGGTTTGTGGTAACCCGCACGCCATCATCAGGAAGTATGGTCTGATGTGCTGCAGGCAGTGCTTCCGCAGCAATGCCAAGGAAATCGGCTTCATCAAGGTATTCGTTATGTTGTGTTATCTTCTTTGTTTTTCTTCGCTTTTCTTTTTTCTTTTTTTTTTCTTAGTAATCGTCTTATCTTCTTTGTTGATCACATTTGTGCGATGAAATCGAATTGGATTTTTTGTTTTTGTTTATTTGTCCATGCGCAGTATCGTTGAGCTGTGGGTGGCGGTTTCTTGAACAATTCTGGAGATGATGGTTTCGGTTCTGTTAATGCAACATTGTTTTTTGCGATTATGTTTCGGTTGAAACATTATTTGTTTTCTGAACCTTATTTATGATTATATATGCCTTTTATTGCTTGAACTTGGATTGGGTTTGGAAAATGTGAGACTTGATTAATGTTGTGAATTTTACTTCTAACATACCATGTTGTTTCTATATATTGAATTTGTTATCGACGTTTTCTTTTCCTTTTCATTCATCAGTCCAGTAAGACAAAAATTAAATAAAACATTATTATTGGGACAAACTTGTATGTGCCATAATTTGTTGTTATAAATGGATTAAAAAAAAAGTTTCCTTTTGGAGCCAAGATTTATATATTAAAATAAAAGTTAAAGTTAAGAAGAAATATATATGTTAAATAGAATTTATTTCAGTTTATTGTTTTTTTTTGGTACAATCAGTTTATTGTTCTTTGTATATCATGAATACATTAGATAAAATATCACATTTTTTTATATATATTCCAACCAGTAAATTATTCATCCACTTACATTCGTCGAGATTGTCTTCAAGGAAAAAAAAAAAAAAATCTAATATCATTTGCAATTCATTTTGGAAAGATAACTACATCGTTAGTTTTGATGATATTAATTTTAAGAACTCCATGATCCATATTTTCCATATCCAAGAACTCAATTTCCAAACCTACTTCCCATATATGACAGAATGTGATATGTTACTATACCAACCACTAGACTCGTGGGATCTAAGAGTAGCT